TTTGATTAAGTAACTTATAAGTTGCGTTTTATTATTAATTATGTTAATTAATTTTAATTAAATATTAAATACTTAAGGAGTACTGTATGTCGGATGATTTATGGCTTTTTTTTTATGATATGCCTGATGAAGGTTATAAAATTGAAGGTTCTCACTGCACAGGTGATCAATGCAATACTTATGAAGGAAATATCAGCCCGAACGATATTTGGACATTTTATTTAACCTCACAGGATGGAAAAATTACACAAAAGATTGAAACAAGCATAGTAAATTGCTACGAACCAAGAATTTGTTTTAATATAGAAAATCAAGGTGAAAAAATTCCTTTAGAAGTTAGTCCTCAAGATTGTGAAATTACAGAAGATAATTCTTCTCTTCACATTAATACAAGCAATCAAGATCATACATTTCATATTGTAATAAAAAAGGTATAAAGTCTACATTTCAGGTACAATATTCAATATTGATGCTACTCTATTAATAATATTTTTGACTACTGGTGCTGCAATTACCCCACCTGTGTGGGATGGCAGTCCTTGTGGTTCATCGATAGCAATTAGTATTACATATCTTGGGTCCAACGTGGTTAATACTCCTATAAATGATACTATATTTGCATTTTTGTTGTATTGACCATTTACAACCTTCTCTGCTGATCCAGTTTTTCCTCCGATTGCATATGCTTTTATATTTGCTCTTTTGCCTGTTCCATTTGTCACTGCCATGCGTAGAAGCTTTATTATTTTACTTGAAGTTTTACGGGTAACTATCTGTTCTCCTATACTTTTTTTATCAAGAATTAAAGTTGCATGATGAAATATTCCATCATTAACCAATGCGGCTGCGGTTTGTACAATATGCATCGGAGTTGTAGCAATTCCATAGCCATAAGATGCCGTAATTAATGTACTTTCACTCCATTTATTGGGTATTATCGGCATGGATTTTTCCGGTATTTCTATTTTCAAAGGGGAAAAAAATTTCATTGCTTTAAAGTATTCAACTTGTTGTTCAATACCTAATTTAAGCGCGATTTTTGCTGCACCAATATTAGATGATTTGACGAATATGTCCTGAACAGTAATGTTGGCAATTTTAGACTTATGAAAATCGTAAATTTTGTATTTCCCAATAGTAATCGGTTTTGACACATTATATATATCATTTACTGCTATGACATTTGCATCGAGAGCTGCAGCTATTGTAAAAAACTTTAATATTGAACCCATTTCATATACTCCAAGAGTAGCACGATTGAATTTTTGCACATCTGTTGCTTGATTGACTACATTAGGGTTAAAATCTGGTAGGCTAACCATAGAAATAACTTCACTGTTTTTTACGTTCAAAAAAATTCCCATTCCACCAAGAGCATGATACCTATCTATAGCTTTAGTTAATTCATCATGTATTACATTTTGTATGCGCAAATCCAATGATAATTTGAGAGGTTTTTGTTCCTGATTCTTGCTTATATACGCCTCAATGCCAGCAATGCCATTGCCATCTATATCGGTATAACCAAGTACATGTGCAAATAAGTTACTGTAAGGATATATACGTCTTACATCGTTATAGAAATTTATTCCCGGTACACCGGTGCTTTTTATTGCTAGAGATT